GGCAAGCAAACAGCTGAGACATCCAATGTAATTATTTTTTTTTCCAGTTAACACCTTAGACCACATTTTTCCTAGTTTCACATTAGACCTCAAAAATCACAACATTTCTATTATTTGTGATAGGCTAAAGACAATAGAAGTGTATCCAAATTCACCGTATTCTAATTATAAGGCATTTAAGCTCAAAGGAAAGCTGAATTCTGACTGTAAATGTTCTTTTGCAAGGTACCATTTTAAAATCTGCTTAAATCCAGAGAGATTTTTATTCCACAATTTGATTTTTACATCAATAAAATCTTAGATATAACAGTACAGATGAAGAAACAATTTAATTTGTATTGAAATAAATATTAGACATACAAAGCACATACAGTGAAAAAGGGTCACAATAAATTACAAGTAGAGACATTATTTTGCTCAATCACCAAAGAAAGCCCTTGATAGTTCCAATTTCACACCATTTAATTTATCATTCTTGCTGATTTAAGCAGAACACAAAACAAATATGGATCCCAGGGCTCACTTTCACAGGTACCAGCATGGATAATTTACTACAGTGACCCAATTTGGAAATCAGTAGGGACCAGTAAATCACTGCAAAGAAGAAAGAGCGAATGAGGTCCTTTTTCCTTAGTGTCAGCAGGCTGTGATTATTATGTTTATTAGATTTTCTTGAAAGGACTTCACATTTTCTCAAATATGCAGGAGAACTATATTTCCCCTCTGAGCCCTACATTAACATTTATGTGCTTTGGTCTTGAATACGGGGGAATGATGAATTTTTCAATTTATTTTATAAATTTATACATTCTGTATAGTATTGGCCTAAAGAATTTAACTTCCTAACCTGGACAATATTAGAAATTAAAAATCGATTCAAGAAGAGTTACTAAGAAATGCTGACATACTATATATACAAATTTTTTGTTCAATATATCCCATTATGTAAAGCACCAGAAGTAATGCATTTATAAATCAAGCAGTTTTTATGGCTGTTTCTAATCTCTGCAATCCTTGTACGTTTATTTCAATATATACACGTCATAAATGCTACCTGTCAAAGACTCTGCCCATTTGGTCTCAACTTACAAGTATGGTATGTAGGCAAAATTAATATCAAAAGGAATTGTTCTAAAAGTTACAAAGGAAAATAGTAAAAGTTTGGAATTAAACTGTCCTGAACAAGAAAAAAAGGTTAGTTTCAAAGTGCTGAGCCTATCAAAGAAGTAGCTTCGCAGAAGGCTAATACAGGAAAAAATGAAATGATTCTTAGGCCCTTCTCTCTCTTGGAATGAGTTAATTGTTAGATTCCCACAAAGATATCCATGTATAACTTTTCCCTATTGTTTTCTAAGAAAAGAATCTGCTTTAGATTTTAAAAGTACTGTATTTCTTGTCGCATCAACTCAGACTCAGTGCAGGTCAGATTTCCTACACGTACAAGAAGAGAAAGACGATGCAGTTAATCTTACACACAGGAGTATGTTCCTTCTAAAGAACTCACCTGAGTACCACTTCAGAACATAAATATTTCCTAGACAATCACGACCAGGAAACCTCTCACACTTTTGGCAGCTCCTTTCCTGTCCTCAGGACCAGACCCAAAAGCTTTCTAACCTAAGTATGAGGAGACTGCTCATTAAAACAATCTCTGGAAGTAACTCCCGGATTTATACAGTTATGCCTTTGGTGTACTGTCTGTTGAACTCCACTATTCATGAAGCCTCTGTGGAATTCTCTTAATCCTAGAGAACTCCAATGAGGTTTTAGGAGAAACTAGTTGTCTCTGGAACTCAAACTTAATTTTCAAATCTAGGTACCATTCCTGATACAATATCCCCGAATTTCAATATGCTTTTATATTACTGTGAAGAGTCTAAATTTTAGAAGAGGTTAAACTGGCTTGATACAGTATTATCTACAAAATGATGAAAAAATTTTAAGTATCATTTTTCTGTACATCTGAAAATGAAGGAGAAAGGACAACTATGTTGGTGTGTTTGGGTGATTTAGGCACTCACCCGGTATGAAAAGAAAAAACAGGAGAGACCATGATCTGAATGATGCCACTCCCAATGTGGCCTATTTTACTGTTTTCCTAGAAAGCATATATTGACAGAGTAGTTCTTGTGAACATTTCAGCATTTAAAAAGTGTACTCGTAGTAAATACTTACTAAATATTTGTTCAACATTGAATGATCACACATTTAAAAGGGTCATGAAATGCAGATCCTTAGTTTTATGGCATTTAACCTTCCGACACGGCACGTGAAAACGGGGGCTACTGCAGGGAAGGGTGCCACCTACTGATTATGAACACAGCTGTCGGGGCTTCTTTCGCCCTTGAGGCTTTCATTTCTGACTAAGTATCAAAATTAGTCTAACCTGGGTGACAGCTTTGAGGCTAGCAGATCCTAAGGAGATTTAGGGGTGGGGCAGAGGTCTTATTAATAGAATAACTATATTAATCAAAGTAAGTTCCTTAGCATTAGTTAAGGGTCTTTACGTCAATCCCTCAAAATTAATTTTATGCATTCTGATCTAAAACCTTAAAAAAAAAAAAACTCTCAGTTCTACTTATTATAATACATATATACTCATTTTCCTTTCCAGAATAAATAATATTCAGGTCCTAAATTTACAGACTTAATCTGAATTTCTTTCTCAATCTTTAGGAAGAAGTACTGACAGTGTTGCAGTTCTTAGTTATATAACAGAATCCATTAATCTTTCATAACTTCTAGTTTGATATTAGCTTCCCTCTGTAAGGGATATTCTTAAATATCCAAATTTATTATTTTTTTTAAGTTAGCTTGCTTTCTTGCTTTCTTCCTGGAGCATCTACCTCGGTGCATTTTATTCTAAGAATATTTAAATACAAACTATATTTAAGAAAGTTCTCCTTAGACTGACATTAAATAGAGTTTAAATTAATGAGGAATCAGGTATACAAAAGGAACATAGAATACTTGCTAGAATGAAATAGGTTTTGTATGAGGCTTCTACTTGCTCAAGAGGGTTTAATATTTAAAAGTACCAGAAGAACAATGGCACTATACCACTTCCTGAAAAATTAAATATTCTGGATGTTAAATCAACGTCTTTTAAACCTGTAAGTAAAAACAAGTTCAACTATGCAGTAAGAGTTACCTTCTCCTACTACATTCATTCTATATACTGTTATTATATTTCCTTAATTTTAATTTGATAGATGTACATGTAACACTATAATTTCAGGTGCCAAATCAGCAGGTTGCAAATATTCATACTGCAGAATTTATAACAAGTTCATGCAAACTAAACATCTAGAAATGCTCAAATTCTAAAATTTACTTTTTCATGAGTTTAAGAGTATTTTATTTATATATTAAGCCCTCCTTTAAGAAACAAATCTATACTTTCATTCAGTCAAACATGAGCATATCAGAAATATAATCCTGCTGTGTGATAAAAAGCCTTGATTTAAAGCAGAATGTTTTATATTGTAGTAATTTTAATATTAAAATTCTTTTTGTTAAAACCAACATGAATTATTTTCTTTAGGGAAATCTTTTTGACTAACAGTAATTTGCAAAATAAAGAGGAAAACATCAAACCAGAAACACATTTACGTAGATCTTTAAAAGTAAAAGACAATCATGTAAAAACAGAGCACACAAAAAGAAAATGAAAAATGGAAAAACTGGTAAAATTCAAATAAGCTTTGTACTTTAGTTAATATTATTATTATAGGCTTAATTTCTTACTTTGCATAAATATTCCATAGTTATGTTAAGATGTTAACCTAAGAGGAAGCTGAATAAAGGATATAAAAAAACTGCACATTTTTGAAACTCTTCTGGTAAATATAAAAGATAAAAAAAATTGTAGGGAAAACACCCTAATAACTTCAAAACAAATAAGCCTTCAGCTGCCAAAATTTCCTGATATAATTCAAGACTCAATTCTTAAAAACATAATTAGAAATCAGTAGTACATTTACTTAACATTATAGTCACTTTATTGCTCTAGAAAGTTTAGTTTTTAAAACCATCAAATTACAGATACAATGAGGTTAGCCACACACACACAAAATCAACTGCATATTATGAGGCTGCTTCTCCAACTTAGTGGATAAATATTACAAAAATACAAAAATAGTTGGTTCTAGTTAAGGTATCAAGTAGAATTTTTCTTGTAATTTAGCCTAAGAATATCATCTTTCTATAGATTAGGAAGTTGAACAAAAAAGAAAACTGATGCTACTCTTAAGTTACTAATGAATGTATTTGAGAAATCAGAATGACATGCAGACAGAAGAAAACTGGTTACAAAACCATTGCATTACAACATACTAAAATTGTGCAATTTTTAAACATTTCCAATCATGCAACAGTAATGAGGATCAGGATGAATTTCGTAAGAGTTGATGTGAGCGCAGTGAAGGGGATTTAACACGTTACACAACCCAAATCACAGCTGCATGACACATCTGATTCCCCCAGTTTATCTGTGCATTCCGAGACTGAAATGCACGCTGTTCCCCCACAGCTCCTCCCCCATCCCACTCCCCGTCAGTTAGCTTACCTACAAACCTTTCCAATTAAACTTTTAAATTAGATTGCATGGATAAATATGTAATCTACAGGATACTCTTCATTATTATTTCAGAACAGACACAATTATAGTCAGATGCGCAATCTTCATTTACATTCCTTTCAAACGGCATCTGAACTGCTGCAATTGTCTATGAAAATTCAAGCCTAGGAAACCAAGGAAATTGGCCGTCGAGAATCTGAACTAGGTAATGCTACAAACTATAATACTACTAATAATTTATGTGTCCACATTTGTCAAGGAAGGATTTCCTATTTGAGAAATGTGACTCAACGGGTCTATGAAAGGAAAGCTGTGTTACTGTTTTCTGATATAAAACGGTTAGATGACCCCAAATGTATTTATCCAACTGGATAAAGGCTTACAAGTTGAGCCTTTTAAAAAATACTCAAAGCCACAGAAGTACTTACGGAAATAAAATTTTAGGTCATAGCAAATGATACATATAGAATTCCTCTTATAATGGTACATCCAAAATAAACCTGTCCTAACAAAGCAGCACAAAATCAATTCAACAATTTGAAGTGAAACACAGCAGGAAGTGCTTCTGTTTAAATCATTAACCAAAATTACTAAAAGGAAGAATACTGTCTCAAAATTTACTGAATTCTCATATGTTAATATTACCATAACAAACTCATGCCAAATATAAATGCAGGTTACTAACTAGGCTGAAACAAATTTTAGAGCTATCTTTACAAGAGAAATGAATGTATTTCATGATATAAGCATGACAGCATCTTAAAAAAAAATGTGGTACATTTATCACTAGATACAAACTTCCTTAACCATTAGCACACAGCATAGAAAAATTTACTCCTAACTTTTTAAGCTTGATTTAACATGCCAGGAAAATGATTATTTTTCCACTGAGATGCATTTATGTAAATTATGTAAATTGGATTGAGGTCAGTATAACACCTGGAATTTACAACCCTAGCAGAAGTTCCAGCTGCTAATAATGCTTCTATTATATTTATAGCTTAACTGGATGTTAAACTACGCAACTGTTGGTGCCAATCTGCTTATAAAGGCAATGCTCTGGAGACAAAGTCTTCTCACAAACAGTGGGCAAGCGGGTTTCATTATTACGTGTTCAACAACAATCCTCAGTTCATTGAACAAAGTCCTGCAAGATAAACGAGTTTTCTTTCAGAAACACAAGGAAAAAGCAATATATAGGCAAACCTTGTTTTACTGCACTTCACTTTACTGCACTCCACAGATACTGCGTTATTTTTTTTTTTAAACAAATTGAAGGTTTATGGCAACCCCGAGTATAGCAAGACAAGCACCATTTTTCCTTTTTCCTTAATCACTGGGTTAGTTCAGGCTCTGGATTACTCTCATCGTCTCCAAATTGATTTATCTTTTTCTCCTCTTAGTAAGTCTGCAATCCATCTTCTGGAATATTTCATTATGGGGGTTCCCAACTCCTCCACGTTACGATCTTCAAAGGCTCTCCCTACCTCAAAATAAAATGCAAACCATGTCATGATCTACTCCTTTGTACAATCCACCTTTCTGGGCACGGATCAGTATCATTTCTCTGTATGCTTCCTGAGCTCAAGTCAGTTAACACGACTAGGATGCTGCGCACTCTCAGGCACTCGTGGGCCAGAACTCAGACTCACTCTTTAGAAGGCATAAGGCCTCAAGAGGTCAGCAGCTTGTCGAAGGGCAAATGGCTATTTCTGTTATTACCGTATCTGTCACTGGCACAGGCCAAGTCTCAGACTTCCTTAACGCGACATTGATAACAAAACTTTCAGCAATGATAGAAGTGTTGTTTACCTGTGCTACCCAATACATTTGCCACCAGCAACACATGGCTTTTGAGCACTTCGACTGTAGTTAATGTGACTCAAGAACTGAGTTTTAAATATTATGAATTTTAACTAATTTAAATGATCGATGTGGCTAGTGCGCTGTGCTGGACAACACACCTATAAACAATCCACACGAGACATCTACTAAGGACTGACACCATCAGCTTGAGGATAAATACCATAGTAAGTGAAAATGGTACAAACTGTGAATATAGATGGCCTTAAAACCTTTAAACAAAATAAAGTGTAATATAGAAAATGTAGTGTTATAGCCTGTTTATCAATATTTATAAGCTCAAATATCTTCCATTTCCTTCTCTTTTGATTAAAATGTGTGCTTATGAGAGACCTTTGAAAATGTTGATTAGCACATTTTTGTGTTATCTTCATTCACTGCTATCCTTCCTTTTCCAGTCTACTGAAAACTAAATTTCTAGATAAACTGATATGATTTAGAGATATGCGTGGAGAAAATGGAAGTGGAGAAGGAAGTACAGAAGCACAGCAAAATGAATTTCCTGATGAAAAAAATGGATTTCAGGGCAGAGAAGAAAATGTCTGAAATGATACATGGACCAGAACGAAAAAAGGCAAAAAGTCATGGGATCAAGCAAAAATGAATGTTAATTTGCCACTAGGGACTTGTTATATTTCAGGAAGTATTACAAAAAGTGTCTAAAAGAGCACAAAAACATCCTGAAAGGAGAATCAGATCATAGAATAAGGAAAATAAAATACTAAGAGCTTCATAGAGTCTTAAGTATTTTTAAAACACTACCTTATTTTACCCCTAGGAGGTTATCTCCTCCACCACTGAAGAAATTCAAATTTAAATAACTTGCCTGAAGTCATGCATCTACTTAACGATGGCCAGCACTGAAATTCAGTTCTTTTTACAGTACTGGGGAAAATATAGAGATCGTTTTAATACACTCATTGGATTTCTGGCTGAATTCTATTAAACTTGAAAATAAAAACTATGTCAACATTAGTATCTGAATAACATTTAGAATGCTATTAAAAACAGCTAATCATTTTAGTTTTACTCTAGCTTTTGAGATCAGAATGCAGAAGTTAGTGTAATTTAGTGTATTAATTTAAGCCCCCATTCCTGGAAACTATAGTGATTTCCTAAGCTATTTCTCTGCTTCCACATTTTTCGGCTCCAAACTATTCTGCACAAGCTATCAGAAGAATATTCTGACCATATCAAAACCATCATTCCCATATATCTAAAAAATAAATTCCAAACTTCTTACCCTAAAACTCAAAAAGATTTATGATATGGCTCTAACATACCTTTCTAATCTTAGCTCCAGCAACTCACCGGTCAGAATCTCCATTAGAGTCAAACAGGTCTTCTCAATGTCGCTCAACTAATGCTTGTACCTTCTTGCCTCTCAACTCCTGCTCCTACTGTCTCCCACCTAAAATGCTTTTCCCTACTTTTACTGTCTATTCAAAGGCTTTACTCCTTCCAGAACGAATTTAATCTATTTTGTGAAACCTCCCTAGCTCGTCTATCTTCTGGCACAATGACCTCTCCCTCCTGTGGACTATATATAGTATTAATACAATAAAGCACACATGGTAATTCATTATATATTGGCTTGTGAATCTGCATCCTAAACTACTGCTTATTTTATTATTTGACAAATGTTTTTGTTTCTGCAACTAAGAAATTTCCTTGAGAGTGGAACTTATGTCATATATATTTTTAAATTCCCAAAGCTTTTAGCAGTGCTTCAGAGGTGGTCAAGCTAACTCCAGTCTTAGTCTCTGAAAAGAAATACAAACACCTCCTCATCAACCCCAGTCAGTTCTAAGGCCTAGAATTTAAATTTACGAAAACATTGCTTGCTTCTAAATTCTAACATATTAGCTAAATAACTCTTAAGAGTTATAAACCCTATACTTTTATAATACTCCAAACAAATAAAACAGATTTAAACTAATCATCAGCTTACCGACAATATGGATTTCTTCGAGAGGAATATCGAAGAGTAAGGAATCTATAGTATATAAAAGGCTGGAGCAAACTTCCTTGACCACTGAAATAAACAAATACAAGGGTGCTAAAGATACATTATCAGTTCATATGTATACTCTCAAAACTTAAAGGCAATTCAACTGGAGAATTATGTGCACCTTCATTCATCAAATGATCACAGTAATAGCATAGCTAAATCCAAGTTATTCTTAAAAGGGAAATAAAAAAAAGTATTGGTAAAGATTGGTAAAGAGTAAAAATTGTTTAAATTTTTATAAATATATTCATGTATGTACTACTTGTGAATTTTTTTCTTTTTTCACATCAAACTGGTAATGTGCCCAGGTCAAACAAGGTTTGAGGGAGGCATATCTCAAACATGAGGGTGAAGACCCAGTCATCACGCTTACGAACTACAAAAGGATAAACTTTTGAAATTTTAAAATACTAAATAAATCAGAAAATGTCACATAAATAATTCCATAATTGCCACAGACAATTAATGAAATCAAGTTTTAAAGCTTTGTTAAGATATTCAAATAAAAAGTGGCTTATTTTATATAAAGAAACAAATCTGAATAAAATTATACTGATATATATATATATATA